TGAAAAATGTTTTTTTTTTACCTTAAACCACATAAACACATTGCATTACACCAAATACACAACATAATGTTCTTTTTAGCAATGTCATATGACCCCTTTAAAAACAAACAATACAGCCCAGTCCAGATTTAAGAAGTAACACAAAAGTAACATAATGCATTACTTTCCATAAAAAGTAAAAGCAATGTAATTAGTTACCTTTTTAGGCAGTAATGCAATATTGTAATGCATTAATTTACTGTTTCAATAGTACGGCTATATAACAATGAAACAGAAATGCATATTAACATGATTTTGGTGTAATAAATTGCTTACATACCAAAGTCATATCCAGTTTTACACCTTTTTTGCCATGACAACAACATACAGTCTATGGTAAACACTGACATCTTGCAAAAATGTTGTTTTGAACAACCTTGGATCTCAAATAATATTTGAGTTTTAAGATAATTAATGTGCTTTTATAAAATTACAAGCTTCACATTACTGCTTTTTAACTCTCCAAACAAATTGTCTGTTCTCTTTCACTGTAAGTGCCTCGCCACAACTTAGATTCTTGTTTACTTTTATATATAAAGGAGGTACAAGTGGAAATTAAGTTTTGTGGTAATCAGTATTCAATAATCAATCAGTTTTTGTCGACTGAGCTCAATGTGTACCCAGAATATTCAGAATTATAAATAACTGCAAAAACATACAACTTGAAAACAACCTAAACATGATTCTGAAAGGAGTTGTGCATAAAACATGATGACAAATAAAACATTTGAAAACCAGATTTCTTTGAAGTGTAAGCACTAAACATGCACACTTGAAACAGACCCTAAAATGGTAGTGAAGGAGTAAACGCTTTCATTTGAAGACATTTGAACAATCGTGGAAAACCCCCCTGAAGATGTGTATCTGCAGTACTTTAGTTTACTTTTTCTCTATTGGATTGGACTCTTTAAAACTGATGATCTTAAAGGGGTCATATGATGCTTTTTTAAAGATCATTATTTTGTGTATTTGGTGTAACAGAATATGTTGATATGCTTTAATGTTCAAAAAACACATTATTTTTCAAATACTGTACATTATTGTAGGTCCTCTATGCCCCGCCTCTCTCAAACGCTTCGTTTTCTACAAAGTCC